GGGAGCCCCCCCCCCCCCCCCCATTACACACATGCAGCGAGGCACCCCATGAGTCCCCGTGCCACCCCTCCTGCCTGGCACGAGCATCCACAGCTGGGTCAAGGTAGAAACCCTGAGGCTTCCTCCTCCCACGGCATTTACCTGCGTCACAAACTTATTTTCTTTCCAGAGCTGCTGTGGAGCCTGCTCCTGGATGGTCTTCTTGACAGAACATGGCGGGCGGTAGGAGTCGGTGTAAGTGCTGACGGGGGTCTTGTGTTTTTTGGAGAAGAGGAACATGGTGCAGCAGCCTGCTTGGTGTCCTGGAGGGTCCCAGGGCTGCCCCACCAGATCAGTGGCACTGCGTGGGGCTGGGGGCTCCCAGCCCACACAGGAAAGGGAACGGGGCTGGTGCCACTGCTCTGCCAGTCCCAGGTGGTGCTTATGTCATCAGTGATATCACAGTGCAGGAACAGGGGGATTTGATGACTGTCAGTCCTGTGGCTGTGCTTCCAACGATAGCAGGTCCTGGGCTAGGGCAGAGAAATTACTGCCTGCATCCCTCCCAGCATCCCTCCGTGGGTGCTGCGCCCTCCTGGCTCCATCCTGGCTCTGGGCTTCCTCCCCTCCTGCAGGCAATTACCTTAACAGTAGTAGGAAACAGTTTCAGCTGGTCCTAGTCAAGATAATTTTATTTTGTGACGTGCAAGAGCAGTGACTGGATTTTCCAGCCCCCCTCTCTCCGACATTTCCTTGGAAATCCTGCAGCAACCCAGCTGCGTGCACACAGCACCACATCGGTGCAGCCAATGCCCAGGGCACAGCACCAGGCATTGCTGTCCCAGCCTGCTGGGGTAGCCAGGGAAATTATTGCCTGCTCCGTCTCCCCTTTTTAATTAAAAAGCTGGATTTAGGTGATCCTGTGTGGCTTGTTTGCTCTTCTGTCCTGAGTGATGGGCTCTGCAGTCAGAGTGATCCTCATCCATCTCAGTGCAGAGGCAGCTGGGTTATGCCAGGGAGGGATTTGCATGAACTGGGTTTGCTTTTCCCCAACCTGGGGAGCTGAGCAGAAACCCCTGCCCCTGCAGAAACCCCACTCTGGCCTGGCTTGTCACACTGTGCCACCTCAGAGACCTGCTCTGTTCCCAGCTCTGGCCCTGTTAGGGCTCTCAGAAGCCCAACCCCTCTGCTACCACATTTTTGGAGATGACTGGTGAAGACTCATGTCCATCTTGGCAGGGTGGATGCCAACCCACCCCCCTGAAGGGCTGCCAAGCCCTGCTCGGTTTGCTGGGGGGGACAGAGGGGCTGGGCAGCCTGGGGCACCCGAATGCCTCCCTACAAGTGTGATTAATGAATTGTTAGAGATTAAATAAAGAGAACAAGCTGCTGTTGATTTTCACACCGTGCTGGTCTCTGTTGAGGCAGGCTTAGGCTCTCCATCAGCCCCATGCCCTCCTGAGAGCCAGTGGGAGGCCGGGAGGGAAGGGTGGAACACGGGTGCGCCCACCCCAGCACCCCCTAGCTCTGTGGCCTTGGAGCACTTCAGGGCATAGATCTGGGGATCGCTGCTCTGCAGAGAGGTGGAGTCCAAGCCTCTCGGTTGCGGGGGCACTAATCCCGCACCAGACTGGCCCCCCAGAGCTGTCTCCTGTCCTTGGCGGTCCCTGGGGTTTCCAGCTGCTGGTGTTGGGACTTTAAAGTCAGTGCTCTCGTGCCAACAGCTCTGAGGGGCAGAAACAGCTGCAATGCTGGAGAAAAGGTTATTTCACCCATCAGTGTCGTACAGATGCAGCACTTCTTTCCGCTCATCTGCAGCCCAGATGCAGGGGCTGGGTCCAGCCCGCATGCCTTCCCGCTGCCTTGGGGAGAAGTGTTTCCCAAATGCTGGCTGGGGGCTGCCCGGCCCTGGCGGGTTTACCTGTGCCATACAGCACAGCCCCGCACCAGCCGCACCACCAATATAAGTAGGCTGGTATTGGCCATGGTGTGAAGGCTGGCACCCCCTGATTTCAGTATCCATGATTGCTGGGGGCTCAGAGGAGATCATGCAGTTCGTACCCTCTCATCCCAGTTTGCTCCAATGAGAAAGGCTGGCAGGCTGGTTTTCATATGTATGCTTTTTAATATCATTAATTCTGTTACACTACACACAACCAGTAACAATGATAAATACTGCAATGGAAATGTTAAAAAAAATATTATACGTGTTTCATGTTTTTGGAAAAAAACCCACATTTTTAAATAAATTAATGCATAAAATTGATGGTAGAAAAAAGAAAACCCAAAACAAACCACAACACAACTGATCTGTTTAAGGCAATACTCTACGCAGACGGTAACAGAAGTACAACAGTGTGCTACATGTTCTGAACGGGAAAAAAAGAAAGAAAAGAAAACCCATACAAGATGCAGATTGATGCTTCAGGAGTGAAAAAACTCCCAAAACCAGATAGTAAAACCAATGGCCAAGTTAAGTGCAGCATTAATACACTCTGCATGTCAAATGATTAGCAGGTTCCTAACATGGACTAAGGTCAAGCTACAACAAATTTAACTTCCTAATTAAAAGGTTATTCAGGTCAAACCCTACATTTAACTCTACTTTGCATTTGGCTGTTTCAGCTATGTTTCACTATATGCAAGGACAGCCGGAAATTCATCTCCTGCTCTTGAGATTAACGCAAAGGTCGGGAGGTCTCTCCTCCTGAAAGATATTTCCATTAACTACATCCAAAAAGGATCTCGCTTTTGGTGATCCTGAAATGCCTCCTGCCACCCCATCCCCTGGGGCACCAGGCACCACATGGGGAAAGGAGACCTGGGAAGCATTTGCTTGGGTTGAGTTTCTTCCAAGCTGAGGACATGAAATGGAAGTGCAGATTTGATCCAGACTCGGAGGAGTGCTGTTTCCCTGTCTGCCAGGAATCTCTATCTGGAGCCTGCTGAAAGCACTTTGCCAGCATGGGAGAAACCCAGTATGTATCCAGGCTCTGGATACAGCCACGACATTTGCTATTAAGGTTGGTGCGAAACTCCATACCTGCCTGGACAGCCAATGAACCCCAATTATTAATGCAGCCCAGAACTTGGCCACTGGAAGGTGGACAATAATCATAATGCCAAAAAAATCCCCCTCTCCCTCAAAAAAGAAAAGAAAAGGGACAGTAGCCACTTCCTGCCAGCTTCCCCCTGTGGATCCCCATCAGCTGCCACCTACACAAGATCGGCAGCGCCACATCTTACCAGCATCGGCCCAGTACATTCCCAGTAAGGTGCATGTCTGCAAGGCGCTGCCAGGGGGCAAAGAAGCTTCTTGGGACACAGTCAGAGCCTCCTGTACTGCGCTGCTAGAGTGCATGCGGAGGAAGCTACAGTACATGAGGAGAGAAACCCAAGTGGAGCTACTAGACTTGTGATGGCCAACAACTGTCCGGGCTGCCTTGGGTTTGAGTGGGAGAAGGGGATGCAGAACTGGGCTGAGAGTCACTTTGGTGCAACTGCCTCTGATGCTCATCACTAGTGCATGGGGTGGCGGGGAGGAAAGGTGATGGCTGCTTTGAGAAAAGAGGAGTGGAAGGAGGATGTGTGCGATATAACAAGGCTTGCAATTCTAGGACTAACCACTGGACACGGATACTGAAGATTACCTGTGACAACTAGCTATCTTTCTACCATCGCTGCTCCTTCCCCCACTTCCTGGTCCGCTGCTTCTTTAGTTTGGGAAGCTGTGGCTGTTCGGCATGGTGGCCAGTGCCGACTTGCCCACCCCAGTCTCCACACAGCACACGGGGTGACTCAGCTACAGGATGTACAATGAGGTCTGGAAGTCGCATGTTAGGCACAGACCAGATCTGCATGCAAGTAGTGCCTGCTTTCAGACCCTTCAGGAAGCTATTTAACGGTGGCTCATTTCCTTGATTAAACTGAAGGGTCAATAACCTCTGGAAGGAGGTTATTGAAGGAAGGAGTAAAACTGGTTAAAAATGTGCAAAAGGGGGGAATCTCCCCCCCCCACTTTCTGAATTTTCTCCCCTGCAAAGACTTCATCCTCTTCAAGAGTCTTTCTCCCTGCAGGACTACAGTCCTACCAGCGTGTCTTACAGTGCCCTGCCCCAGCACAGCAAGAGCACAGCCGCCAGGCATCCCACCCGTGCCTCTGCTGCAGGTCTCCAGCCCGTACCAGGAACACATGGGCTGGCAGGCCTGGGACCTGGCGCTTGGGTCCCAGACCTCCTGCAGCACTGAGACCGGGAGGGTAGAGGCGGCCAGCTCGGCGTGCTGGATCACACCAAGGTTTTACACTAGCCTGGCGAACCCTCAGCACCACAGCCTTCAGGCGGGTGAAGAGAAATCCCAGCCTGCTCTCTGGCTTACCCACCATCATGGTTGTTGGATCTCCAGCTGGTCTGATGTTTGCCTTGGGTTTGTCTCAGGACAGAGGCAGCTACAAGCCAAACACAGCTGCTACCGCAGCTTTTCTGTGCAAAGAAACCGAGCAAAGAAATCTGTGAGCTGGGGATGGAGATGAAGGTGATAAAAACCAGAAGGGCTGTTGTGAAGAGAGCTTGTCCAAGTTTTCCAGCTCTCTCTGTGGATCTGTATTACATCTCCCAACAAACTTCGTGTCTCCCAAATGATGTGGGCTCCAGGAAAGTGGGTAACAAATGGAGTTGCACCTTTTTTGGGGTACAGAAGCAAGAAGGCAGCCTCAATTGGACAGCAGTGCTTCCCAGTGAACTCACCTGGGGCAGCTGGATGGGCAACTAGGGGAGAAATGCTGCTCCGGGAGGGCAAACATCTCGCCAGGTAATGGGACTTATCTCAGCATGGCCTTTCCATGGCCTTTTCTTGTCCTGGTGCCTGCTGTGCTGGTTTCCAGTGACACGTCGGAGACATTTTAATGAGCCTTCTTTTGTACCTTCCACTCACTGATGCAATCCCACCGCCTGTATCACCATTTGTTACTATGGAAATGGCTCCACAGACCAGGCACAACAAGGCTCGGAGCTACCACCAGTGGCAAGTGTGTCTGGGAAGCAATGGGAACAGCTGCTCTCCACAGGCATCAGGGAAAGCTGCAACCTGTCCTGTCAGTGTCCGTGCTGCTCTGCGACATGGCTTGCTGCACGGTTGCATGGCCACAGTGCTCTGCTCCTTGTAATCTCAATTAGTCCCCAACCTTTGCCTCCCCAGCAAGCTGTCAAAGCAGCGCTGAGCCAGGCAGCATTTAGCTGCTGTGATCCTGGGACTGCCACCAATGTCAAGGGAGGCAAAGGAGGGGATGTAGCTGTAATTTTTTGGAAGCAATGCAGCAGCTCAATTGCATAATACAGGGAGTTAAAATACAGATGCCAGCCCCTGTGAGAAACCTGCATTAATATTCTGTAGGTAATCCTAGGTCACAACCTCTTCCTCTATGCTAAATTGCTGGCCCTTCTGCTGCAGGGCTTGTGTGGCTCTGTAGGACAGGCAGGTTTGTCTGATGAGATGTGGTTCAAGGTTCGGAGCAATCCCTCTCACAGGAAAGCCTTGAAAGGAAGTAACAAGGATGCAATGTCCTCCTAGAGGTGAAAAGCACCTTAAAATGAAGACATTCCCATGCCTTCCTCTTAGGCTCAACCTAGTCCAGCTTGCCCTGTGGCACTGCCCATCTGTGCAGATGTTTCTTTTGAGATATGAGGAGTAGAAATAGGAGGGTGATGCAAAGAGTCAGCTCTGAAGAGTGGTAGAGGTCAAAGCCAGGGTATATTCATGGTGGCACATGTAGCCTGTGCTTGCTGAGCCAGGCAGCAGCCAAGTGACAAAGCCTACTTCATTCTAGGTAAGAGTGGCCACACCCCATGTGAGCTTGAAGGAGAACAGAAAAGTAAATGAAGCGCCTAGGCGAAAGTGCCAGTTTATACCGTCAAATCATGATATGGATGCTGAAAGTAAGAGCACGAAACTGCTGTGGGAATATCCCAGATGAGCCCTTCAATGCCCTCTTCCCTCCCATCAGCACTCGCTGTGCCAGCTGCACTCCTCTAAGTTCCTTAACTCTACTAGCAGTGGATGGTGCTCTTGGGCCACCAAATCTTCTTACATGTTCCCTGTGGCAGCATGCAGATTGAGAAGCCAGTTCTGCAAGAGCCAGCTGCCAAACAACTGGGAAACGCATCCTTGCTAAATACCTTCCCCCAAAGCTGTTTAATCTTTCTACTAACCTCCACCCTGCAGCCTTCTGGCACATGCAATCAATATCAGAAGCTGGTAAACAGAGGGAAAGCAGAGTAGTACTTTGAAAATATGCATAAAATTTCTACAGCATGCTTCTGCATCTTGCTTACAGAGCTATCCTATCAATGGTGCCTGCCACACACTTGGCAACATCCGTGCAGGGTGGTGGTAGCATCTTGGGAAGGCAGGTTTCTCCCCTGTGCTGCAGAAGGGAATGGACATCAAGAAGGGATGTGACTTGCCTGAGATTAAAGCAAATGTGTACCACATGCCAACAGCAGCAAGGGACCCCAGATATCCTTTCTGTGCTCTAAGTCCAACAGACTCTCCACAGTAGTATTTGTCTGTGGTGCCAGCTTCGGGACACGGTATTTCTGGGGTGTGCATCTGAAAGTGAGCTTTGCTCCCTGCTGGTATCAGCACTGTACTGAGATAGATTAACTCGGACAACTGGGATCTGCCCTAGGCCAAGACAGCGCTTGGCAACCTTTCTAGTTACTGCTTGTTTTCCTTTTCCTGTCATTCCATCTGGTGCCCAGCTGGGTCCTTCCTTTCTTCAAAAGCATCTTCATGTTTCTGTGGAGTCACATACAGGGCGCTGTACTTTTCAAGCCTCCTACATGCCGTTGTTCAGCTTGCAGGCCAGCCCAAGGACAGACTCTGCATGGAGAGGAAAGGATTCTGCTCAGATCGCAGACCAATGTGTCAGCCAGCACACAGCTGAGCAGAGCGCGTGCCTCCTTTTGGGAAAGGAGCTGGAGAGAGAAACCAGAAGCAGCTGAGTCCATCCTGTCCATGGGGGAGCATCCTGAATTTCCTTTCGAAGTCCATGCAGCAGGCTTGGTTGCCTGCTTTTGCAGTCGCAAGGCCAAGCGCACGTGTTGGGGGTAGACATGCAGCAACGTCAGATATGATCCAGTGGCTCTTCCAAGGGTTCGCTTCAAGATATGTCTGATAAGACATCAAATGAGCCTTTGGGATGGTTGCCTGGACATCAGCCTCCTTTCAGCCAAAGTTTATTATTATACAACCACCAGAAAAGCAGACTAGACCATGCTATCTAAAGACCTTCCTCAACACTAGGAGGACGTTCCTCCTCACAGAGACATGTGGAAATGGGGAGTCTGCAGACCGGAGAGACAAAGTTGAGTGCCGAGACCCTGGACTTCAAAGCCAGCTCACATTTAGGGCAAAATTAACATCTGTTAAAAGGAAAGGACTTGCTTAAACTCAGGTAATTTGGTGATTAAAATTATATAAAATCCCAATAAAAAGCCATTCTGGCTTTAGGAGGCATCAAATGCAAATTCCTTTGTGGAGGCGCCAGCATCAATATCCTTAAATCCTATTTGCATGGTAATTTAGATGGATAGCAATGCAGCCTTTCATACTTCATGGTATTCCCCTTGGTATTCTGTACAACTTTGGACTGAAAATGGGGCGTGAGAAGACCATCTGGTTTGGTGCAAAGACTGGAATAAGGAACAATTTGCTTTCTTGCATGCAACCTGCATTTAGGAGAGTGCCCAGCAGCTCTGCAGATTTTAGGGCTTTATAATGCTGCGACAGAGAGTCAGGGTCCATGCTTTTTGCTTCTGCCTTCTCCAGGCCATGGTGGCAGAGACTGGTCTAAAGAGAGCAGTGCCAGAACAGCCATGTATCTATACACCTTCCCAGGAAGTCACCACAGTGTAACCTCCAATGAGGGCACAAGGAAAACCTTCTGGCTGAAGCAAAGGTCTGAACATGAGACCAGATAGGGGGAGCCAGCCCAATCTGTGGTTAACACATACTGATGGGCTGTCCACCATATTCCATATGTGGACATACGTGCCCCGTGGTCACAACCTGCTTAAGGGGCTGCAGTTCAGAAGGGTTAGTGTTCAGTTTTCTATGATAGCCACATATGCATTGCCTTAATCCATTCAGCCTTCCTGATAATGACCCTACACAGGTAACTACTTTTCCCCACCCTTTCTACTTTATTCCCCTAATAAAATATATGAACACAAAGCATAGAGAGGAGAAGCCAAAAAATTGCCATTTTATGGTCCTGTACTGTCAGGTCAAACCAGCTATTTGTGCAACCAACTCCTTCTGTGCGCAGGGAAAAATACTTGGCCTGTGCTTTGATCTGTACTTGCAGGAAGCACTGGGTGTAACATTTAAATTCATCTCCCTCTCTCCCTAAAGGGTTGTGCTAGAAGCAGATGCACATCACACAATGCAAAGGGCTGTGGACAGCTGCAGGGTTGCAGGGTTGAAGAATGCCTCAGGGCACATGGCAGGCAAAAACCAGCAATAGGGGCAATAAAAGGACTTGGCCGTGGTGCCATGGGGCAGTGGTTTTCAGGGAAGGTCTGTCCTTCAGAGGAGAGGCGTTAACCCTGGGAGATACAGTGTCAGCAAGCCTCATTCTGTCTTAGACTGAACATGATGGCACCATGATGAGACCTGTGGGACCTGCAGTCCTCCATGGCTGATCCATGTAAAAGGATGGCTTGTTGCTCTAGCAGGCACACTGAAATGCTCCGAGCTCCTGAGCAAGGGCTGTGGGAAAGGCTAAGCGTGTGCAGCCCAGCTGGAAGGCACAGAGACTGACCCAGAAGGATAAATGCGATGAAGATGTTGCATGGTACCAATGCTGAACTGCAAAGTCCCTTTTTAGAAGAGTGAAGATTTAAAGAGACTCAGTCATGTCCTATAGGATTTGGTTTGACCATGGTGATTCTGTTAGGTTTTGACTACATTCCCATTAAAAAAAAAGACTCCTTAAGGAATGTTTTTCCCTTTTATCTTTTCTCTCTACACAGTGTTGTTAGAGCCCTTCCCCCACCTCCAGACAACTTGCTAACTTCAACCTGAGCTAGCACTGGAGAGGAAAGCAGGCACATGAAGAAAGAAGCAAGAATTGGAGACCTGATGCTTTGTGCTTCTTTAGAAACGTTTTGGAAATATTCCCCCCAGCATTACCAGGTGGTGAGAAAGGGAGATGAATTCACTTGAGGAACACTCTTCCTAGAGGAGCTGGCAAGTTAACCAGCACTTCTGCACAAGGAGGCAGGGGTGCTCAGTAAACAGCACCACTCAGTCCTCTTTCTATGGCCTTTGGGATGGTTGCCTGGACATCAGCCAGGGTGGCAGCGTGCTGTTTTAAGGAGGGGGGGCAAACATAGGTTTAACAGCTGCCCATACCAGCTAGTGAATAATAAAGCCCAGGAATCTTGTGTGCCTGCTCTTTTGCTCATGCTGTGGGTGGTATCATGCTTTGCACTGCACAGAGTGAAACCCCAGGATGTTAAATAACTCTCCTCCTCATCATGAAGAGGACTTCTTAAAGACTCAGCTCACTTCATGCAGATTTCAGATGGGGGATCTGTCTGTTGGGGTGGAGCTCAGGCTCTGCCTTGTGACTCAAGAATTCTGATGGGAAGCTCAGAATTGCCCTTGCTTTTTCCCTTCCCCAGGCTATAAAGCAAGTGATGACCCAAGGCAGGCGGTCCTTCCTCCTGGCAGGGCAGGAAAACACACAGTTGTGCCTGTGGCAAAAGATTTCAACACCGAGAAAAATGCCAGCCCAACCCTTGCCTGAGCCCCGCACATGCTGAAGCCAGCAGTATAAGACTGGCCAGGGAGAGGACACGTTTCCTAATTCCAGAAATGATTTTGCATTCCAACCAACCTGCTGGTCAACTGACAATTCAGTCCAGCAACCTAATGTAACGCCAGGTTTCCTGACTATTCCAGCACGAAATAAACACAATTGCTCCTGACATGGGACAGCTCTAACACAGACCAAGCCTGGTTCACAAGTGGGCAGAGATGGGATAAACAGTAGTTTCCTCTCATGCATTTTTTTCAGCTGAAGCTGTTCATATTCC